TCGGTACTTAGTTTCTAAATAGCATGTTCTTCTAAATGTAACATAAGATATTACATTTAGAACAAAATAATTATTTTCTCATACAAAATGGATTATTTCCTAGATTGTACATCGAATGTTGCACTGTTCACAGAGTAAGATAAAAACATACCGAGATCTACCAAAATTTAAGCAATCTACCATTATCATAAATGCAATTAAATGTAATACAAAGTGTATGTTACATTGCTATATGAATAAAGTATTTACTACAAAATATATACCTCTTGTAACAAAATATCAAGCGCGGATGCATGGTACACTTCGATCACCATCTTTATTTTACATTAAACTTTATTTTGTCATTTAATTACCATCCAATTGTCTTTAAAATTCCCTTAGCTTCTTCAAACACTTCTTTTGGACTTTTCATACTGTTTACTTTGTACACTAAGCCTAGCTTCTCAAAATGCTCGATTATGGGCATTGTATTTGTGACGTAAGTCTCAAATCTTTTCACCAAAACTTCTTCATTATCGTCAGACCTTCCACTTCCTCCTGCTCCACGTTTTAGACATCGCTGAATACATACTTCCTTGCTGCATTCGCAAAATAATACTCCTTTCTGAATACATTTATTGGACATTGCCTGTTAGCAAAAAACATGTTTTAGATGTAAAATACAACAATTCTGTTCTGAATGAACATGATTTAAATTCGTATGAGAAGGATAAAATCATCATGTGGATCACTTATTGAATCTTTTACATGAAATTAGAAAATTTAGATAAAGTTATTGAATTATGTAGATTTCGAGATTATTTAAACAATACTTAAACATATTGCCATATACCTCGTTCCAACCATCGACATTATCTTGGTTTCTTGGGAAACCATCAATGAGGAACCTTTTGTGTGGATTATCCGAGGATTGCATCGCTCGGTCCAGAAGGCTACAAGTGATCGCGACAGGTACGATTGATCCATTTTTTATATGATTTTCAATAAGTTCTCCGTACTGGGAGCCCGGCTTTGCGCGTTCTTCCCTCAATAAGTCACCAGCAGACAGGTGCACATAACCATACTCCTGTGTGATGTGATAGCACAAAGTGCCTTTGCCTGAGCCGGGAGCTCCCAGCACAAATAAAACTTCTGGTTTCTGGGGCACGGACATCGCAAAAAATCGCAGACCAGCCGCGAATACCTTGAGCATAAAATTATCAAAAAGTACTTAGTACAAATTAGTACTGCGACTTTGCGACGGACAATTACTTACACAAGTATGGATGTATACTTTCTATACTTATGTATATGCAGAGTATTTACTCAAAAACACTATAGCGGTTCGTTTTGAAAAATGCGAATCTGGTATTGTAAATAAATTGTCTGCCGAATTCTGTAATTTTTTGTACCTATAAATTAATTGACTTGATTGTTTTGTATGGATTAAATAGAACACTGTCGCAAAATATAAAGTAATATGATAAATACTATGAATTTTGAATTCCTATAACACCAAAACTAAACGCCTCGTAACACATATGCAGCATTATGTAACAGATCGAAGGATTTCTCCTCTTCCCGTGCTGTCCCCCACTACTATATTTTCTCCCCACTTGCGCCTATTGGTCTTCCGTGTCATGTGTCCGTGTCGTCTGCTATCGGCGAATTTTGCGACAATTTCAATTTTGTAACATAACGCGCATGTCCATGGATAACGGAAGTGGGGGAAAAATAGTAGTGAGGACAACACGGGAAGAGGAGAAATCCCTCGATCTGGCAACGCTGGCTGCACCATTGAGCTGTGCGCTGCACATATGTATGCATGTACATACAGTTTAGTAACAATGAAATTGAGTCAGCTATGTGCATGTGTTAGTTTTCCCTAGAGGACAAAATTCAAAACGAGTAATAAGTCTACGTTCTTTTTTTGAAATGTTCCATCTGGCATCGAAGGCTACGTATTATAGAAAATCGCAATCACAGTCGTGATTGAGTTTAATCATGATTCGTGATCGTGATTTTGTGATCACCGTAAAAAATCACGGTTAGTGATTTTGAACGCCATCTCTATAGCGCAGTCTATTCTTATTTTCTTATATGTCTATAGTCAACGTATCGTATACGTTGACTATAACTATATTTATTGAACTATAGTTCCGATATATAGTATGTCTGTGCTAAGTTTCCCTGGTTTGGTCAATAAGAAGCTTGTGCGAAACTTGAGAAAGCATAGCATAATGTGCATGTGACGCGAACAGAAATATCGTGTATCGGTTCGGTACGCGGCGCGAGTTTGAGAATTCGATCGCTGTAGAGTGTGCGATTCCTGTGGCGATGAAATCGTGTGACAAACAAGCGTGAACGGATAGAGGCAGAGTTGTTCCGGATCGCGGACGAGAAACGATAACTTGCTGCGGGTGTTCTTTCTATAGGAAAAGGTCAACCCTTGTCTGGATTCTATGCGATGTACCGGTGCCCCACCCCCGCTCGCTGTTTGTCCTCTAAGTCTAACCCCTTTACTAAGTATCCGAGGGTAGCATGCCGCATACTATGCAAAACTATTGTCACCGTTCTCGCCGCTTAGTAGGTAAGGTATTTCCATTACAATATCGGCAAGTACTCCTTTTTTCGTGAATCTATTTACAATCGAATGATAATGCCATCATTTCTGAAGTAGTTTAATCTTATCGCGTTACCGCGTTGCGTATCTTCACGTTTAAATTGTACACGCAATTTGTTCTCCTCGGAGATATAACAGGTGGAGCAGAAACACGACAAGTAATTAACAATTTTTCATGAAAAGACATAGTACAGTGTAACGCATACGATAACTTGCTGTCTCATCACTAACACATTGCTGCTTGTATTGTCGTAGCATTGTCTTGATGCAAAGTCTAATTATAGTAATTGTTAATTCTCAGATCAAATGTGTCAGGTACATGCTTCTTATAGTCTTTACGTCTAGTCTAAGGGACTTTGATCTAACTAAATATTCTTGATCTCTGCATTAGTAGCATTTTAGCATAATAGCTCTATTGCTATGTAAATACTTATTACGAAAGCTTCAAAGCTACATAAATCCAATACTGATAAATATTTTCTACATAGTGAATCCTAACAATCAGAAAAGCAGAACACTTGTAATTGCTTGATTCTTCAATTCGTCTCTTCAATTAATAAATTGATATGGTTGTTTTGATTTCAAGATATATTAGGTCATAGTTATTCTCAACCTTGTTATTATAAACGTATTATATTATTTAATTAAGTTAGTACTTATAAAGTCATCCTAAAATTTAATTAGCGCAAAGGAATTCGAAAATAATGTACATTCGATTTCAATAATTATTCATCAATGCAAAAAGGAAGGAATAAGTTTTTGCCAGCAATAAGAGATTCGTGTATCGGAGAGTTTTATCGTACGGTCCTTGAGTAGAATGCGAAATTGATTGTCGATATGCTCGATGTACTTCACCGTACGTGTCGTATTTACGCGGGTGTACTCGTTGAATATAAACGACCGATTGATTATCGTCGCTCGGACTGAACGATATTAATTGCTGGACGACGAACGTTCGCCGTGGAATAATATCGGATATTAGCTTCTGCCTTTATGGTCGTTGAAACTTAAGAAGCCGCCTCGGAATCGTTAAGTAGTTCGTTCAAGTANTAATTATTCATCAATGCAAAAAGGAAGGAATAAGTTTTTGCCAGCAATAAGAGATTCGTGTATCGGAGAGTTTTATCGTACGGTCCTTGAGTAGAATGCGAAATTGATTGTCGATATGCTCGATGTACTTCACCGTACGTGTCGTATTTACGCGGGTGTACTCGTTGAATATAAACGACCGATTGATTATCGTCGCTCGGACTGAACGATATTAATTGCTGGACGACGAACGTTCGCCGTGGAATAATATCGGATATTAGCTTCTGCCTTTATGGTCGTTGAAACTTAAGAAGCCGCCTCGGAATCGTTAAGTAGTTCGTTCAAGTATCAGTGATCCGATATAAAATCTGACTATAAACGCTCAACTAGCACGTTCCGATTCAGATTTATATAAAAAAGCTTGACGAGATTTTGAAATAAGAACGTACAAAAAGAAACTTGATCGAATAAAAACAATAATGATGTGCATTTATACACTTAATAAAAATACGTACTCTCTTGTTATTTCAGATATACGGTGTAAAACAAAGTAATCTTGAAGATTTAGTTTTTGATACTTCTTGTATCTATGACCTGATCTTCCAGTCGATATTAACAAATTCAGGATGTATGCGTTAAAAATGCAAACTGCCTGCCAGAGTGAGGACAGCGGGGAGCCTGTTGTAGTCAACTCGAGTAGTCATCATCAGGAACCTGCTAGACCTCCCGCGCAGGATTGCAGCACGTTCGACATTGTTAGAGCGACTCAGGTATACTGTGCATTCAATGATTGTAATTTAATTTATCGAATCGCTAAAATATTAAATGTACTCATTGGGAACATTTGTTTTGTATAGTATGGAGCTTTGGATCGTGTAACTGAATTAATAGAAGCTGGTGCGGATGTAAATCAACCAGACTCAGAAACTGTAACATTATTGCATTGGGCAGCGATAAACAATAGGAAGGATATTGTAAAATACCTGATTGCAAACGGAGCTGTTGTCGATGCGATCGGTGGCGAACTTGCCTCTACGCCGTTGCACTGGGCCACGAGGTTGATTTCGATTTTCTTTGCGGTGGAATATGAAATTAGCAGGTGAAATAATAGCTCTTGTTTACAGGCAGGGACATTTATCTACAGTTGTGATATTAATGAGAGCGGGAGCAGATCCAACTCTGCGAGATTCCGAAGGATTCTCGTGCATTCATTTAGCGGCGCAATTCGGTCACACTGCTATCGTCGCTTATCTAGTCGCTAAAGGAGTGAACCCGAATATGCCAGACAGAAGCGCTATGACACCCCTTATGTGGAGTGCCTACAAAGTTAATAGGTAAATGTAACAAAACAACGAACAGTATAATTGTAGAAGTTCTTATTTCATGTCACGTTATCTCGGTTACTCTGAAGTTTTATCTTCTACAGTTTAGATCCGACTCGCTTGTTACTGACTTTGGGAGCATCTCATTCGCTCGCAGACAATTCACACGGTAACACAGCTTTACATTGGGCAATTATAGCTGAAAATAGCACGGCGATATCCACGTTAGTGCACCATGGCGCATCCTTGGATGTGCCAAACTTTGCGGATGAGACGCCGATGACATTATTAGGTCGTCACATCGGCGCTGCTTGGTTAGGCCATCAGATCAGTCAAGAAATTCGGGAAAGGCAAGGCAGAACAAGGACATGGTGTAGAGATAAGGTACTGGTTAATGATATCCGGAACCGATTCACGAGGAATTTCGTTCTCTTATATTTTTTATGTCCGTTTTTCAGAGGATACGTTGGTACTGCATGGCCAGTACGCCGTTTATAGTTTTCTACGTGATCGGGATGATCTTTCAGAGTGGATTGGATTATCTAGTAAAATTAGGCGCATTTGTCACTCTTTATATAGCACTGTATTTAGCTAATCATTTTCTGTTCGACGAACGATTATTCCATATCGTACCAATGTCGATTTATTTGGCTACGAAGGTAATTATTTAAAACACACGGAAATTTCATATGAAATTCTAGAATCAAATATTATCGTGGATCGTATATTGAACACTCCTTGAATTACATCAGAAACTGATAACGAGTCTTTATCGCAACATTGGATACACATACGCGCATTTTAAACATAATACAATGCGTATAATATCTGGAATTACTTATTACAGATGTGGATATACGTGACATGGATATTTTGGCTAGGCATACACTCTGCATGGTATCTGTGGTTAATGATAGTAGGTGGATCAGTACCGCTTTGGATATGTTTCGTGAAATCCTGGCGAGGGGATCCTGGAGTAATCACGGCTACGCACGAGGACAAATTAAATGTAAAGATCTCTATATCGCAGCCACATTTTTCGGAGGTGTAGTGTATTCTTTAGTGCGATTATTTCCAGACGATCATAGAGTTAGCAGAGTCCGGGGGTTTCGAGCCGCAATCGTTTTGCAGCACTTGCTTGGTTAGAAGACCTATGAGGTCGAAACATTGTTCCACGTGTGATCGATGCGTAGCGCGATTCGATCATCACTGTCCTTGGGTCAATAATTGCATCGGTGAGTCAGCGTAAGACCGGAACGCGTGAAACATAGTTTCGTGACACGCGTGACTATGTAACATACCGCGATAACTTGATGAGCATTCTACAACATTTTGATTTCCGTTTTCTTTTTTAAAATTAGGTGCGCATAATCACAAGTATTTCCTGGGATTTTTAGCGTTGCTACTAGGCCTTTGTATCGTTATTTTATCCGCTAGTGTACAGTATTGGCAGTTCGAGTGTTGGACGAATTTGACGAATGGCCACACCGCTGATAATTATTTAATTGCTGCGGCTACGTGCGACGCTTGGGTGATGTGGATCATGGCGAACACGTCTCTGCATTTCTTTTGGGTCGGAACTCTACTAGCGTGTCAATGTTATCAGGTTTGCCCGATTCATTTTTTAACGAGACTTAAGAATTGTACAACTTTTTTATATAATTAACAACGATTCTCAGATAATGGTACTTGGAATGACGACGAACGAGCGCATGAACGCCGGCCGGTACGCGCACTTTAAGCAAGGGAATCCTTTCCATCGCGGCGCTCTTCAAAACGCGGCCGACTTCTGCAACCTAAGCTTCTGCGGGGTGAAGGCGAAACCAAGCTCGGATTGGTTGCATAGCTTCGATCACAAACAGAGCATTGAAAAGCTGCCTTTGCTCGCCACCAAGGACAACTTCCAATACATTTAGAGTATATCTTATGTTCCGGTGGACGCTTACACGGAGAAAGATTACATTAGCCATCAGAAGCTAACGCACGGTGTGTCATATCAATTAACGCCCGAAGCACACACACATTTCCGGGCAACCAAAGAGTTACTAGAAAATCGGGTGTGATGACGTTCAGACAGAGGTAATGATTTTTGCATACACACAGATTTCAATTTGCATATTATCGAGTAATTTCCTACAGTCAGTGAGATGCAAATTTGTAACATTCGTCTATTGTAAAAGACTGTTCTACTACCGTAAGTATGCATATCCCATGTTTGTGTATTCCACTTTTGGAGGTAAGACACGGAGAACAGGTTGCACAAGTACTTCGACTCTATTTTTACAACAGAATCGCAGCAAACGAGATTCTCTTCTTTTTCTCTGTACACGTAGAATCACTTGGTGTAATCGACTTCAAAAGTCTACTTTGTAAAATGTAAATTTAAACGACTTACAAATATCACATTGTAAATATCTATTCTTTTCAAGTTATCGTAATGCATCCATTGAACGCTATACGTATGTTAATATTCGGTTGCAAGTTTTTTTTTTAATTTTACAGTCTGTATCCTGTATAATTTTATCGAACATCGTCTTCGTAAAATCAAAAAACCATGACAGTATTTTTATTTGGTAGTATAATTTTTACTTGTTATTTTCTAATAAGTGTAGAAGATCGATATATACACGAATAATATCGTTATAAATGATCACTGTAAGAATTGATAACTTTTAAGGTAGTAGTCGTGCTACAATGGCATCCAAAATATTGATACACATGAATTTCTTACTGATTGTGAGAGCAGGAAGGAAGCTGTCATTTACTTTTCTCCTCTTCGAAGCGCTTGTTTTCTTGCTCTATTTCGTATAAATATTATGACCTTGTCAATGCCCTTGCTTACAAACGATTTCGCTGACCATTACGATTTTCTAATATAAGAATCTTGTGAACCTTTTACATGATATATTAGTTTTTTTTATATTGTAAAAGCAGTCTTTTGCTATAATTAAAAATGTTAGTTTCGCGAGGGGACATTATAGGGATTACATGTTAAAAAGTTTATCATGACACTAGGCTTCCCGTAATTTTAACCATCGATAAATAATAGTCTTAATAACATGTAGTTAAGACTTACAGAAGACCGTAAGAAAATTAGTTTGCGGGATTACTACCTTAAATCAATGTATAAATTATCACAAGTTACTTGCGAGTGACGTTGATAATGAAAAGTATGGCATATTTATGATAAAGTTATATTATACTGTTAGCGATTCAATCAGTTTTTCGTACTTAAAAGATAAGTTTACCTGATTCGTTTAAGTGCCATGCCGGTATGTACATTTTGAAAGACATCCACCTACTACACGTACGTACACAATTTTATGCTCTAACTGTGTAAGATTTGATTAACGTTGCGTGTTATATCTAATCTACAATTATTGCATTGCATAAACAATTAAAACACGATAGCAATATAAAAATATTTATTATATAGCATATATAAGATTGTTTACAATGTCTGTTTTAATGGATGTCATCAACTTTCGAAGAATTATACTATTAATTACATGTAGTATAATTCGATGAACGAAAACCGAAGAAAGAGTCTGGTACATTTTTGTACAACGAAGTATAGAAAAATGCAGTTGTTTTACATTCCAAAAGAAAATAATACTTTGGAGTGTAACCGCGAACATGTCTCTTTAATATTTAGCATGAGCTTAGAAATGTATGCTTGTTTCTAATTCGAGTCTGCGAGAGGAAAACGATTGAACCAGGCTGTTAAGGTTGCAAGTGCCATGTCAATTCCAGTTTCTAACATTATTAGCATGTTCACTGTGAGAGTTGCGTTATACGCACAATTAACGCAGGGAAACGAAAAGCTCTATTAATTGCATCCTTAACAGAAGTATGTAAGCTTGAATTCCTATAACTCTTAGAATCTCCGCTAAAAGAAATTTTGCGATTAACGATTCTGTCGCAAATGTCGAATACTCGAATTGCAGAGATCACATACGTTCGTTTAACATTGCATTTCCGATAGGTGCCTAAAAGTCTAACGAGGACACCCAGAGTTGGTCAAAAGTATTTTTAGTTTCTAAGCTAATATTTGTTGTATATAAAAACTCGACGAAGTCACGTATTAATTTCATTTGAATTGAGCATCGTCCATTCTTCTCGGATGGCAACATTTCGTTGTATTGTATAACTTCATCGTTCTCAGGATATTTTTACCTATCGAGATAGTTACGTACGGAGATCATCCGATTTTATTGTGGGTATAGATCGGTGAATTTACATTCCGATGATTCCGCGACTTGTTTGAAAAGTCTTGTACAGCGCAAAGATTAACATTCGGGTACATCCTCGTCGTTTACTCAAGTGTAATGCTTTTTATTTAACGGCTGGCTTGTACAGAATGCGAAGATGATGTTTGTACAAAGCAAAAGAAAACAGACACGTTAAAACGTACGTATACTATTGTTAGATTTAATATTAGAACAGGTGAACGATGATATTACGGAAACGAATACTCCATTAAACTAATCCCACGAAATATCTGTATAAATAGCTATAAATACAACAAATGTAAGTTAAATGTAATTAATTATAATAGAATTATACTGTTAGCGATTCAATCAGTTTTTCGTACTTAAAAGATAAGTTTACCTGATTCGTTTAAGTGCCATGCCGGTATGTACATTTTGAAAGACATCCACCTACTACACGTACGTACACAATTTTATGCTCTAACTGTGTAAGATTTGATTAACGTTGCGTGTTATATCTAATCTACAATTATTGCATTGCATAAACAATTAAAACACGATAGCAATATAAAAATATTTATTATATAGCATATATAAGATTGTTTACAATGTCTGTTTTAATGGATGTCATCAACTTTCGAAGAATTATACTATTAATTACATGTAGTATAATTCGATGAACGAAAACCGAAGAAAGAGTCTGGTACATTTTTGTACAACGAAGTATAGAAAAATGCAGTTGTTTTACATTCCAAAAGAAAATAATACTTTGGAGTGTAACCGCGAACATGTCTCTTTAATATTTAGCATGAGCTTAGAAATGTATGCTTGTTTCTAATTCGAGTCTGCGAGAGGAAAACGATTGAACCAGGCTGTTAAGGTTGCAAGTGCCATGTCAATTCCAGTTTCTAACATTATTAGCATGTTCACTGTGAGAGTTGCGTTATACGCACAATTAACGCAGGGAAACGAAAAGCTCTATTAATTGCATCCTTAACAGAAGTATGTAAGCTTGAATTCCTATAACTCTTAGAATCTCCGCTAAAAGAAATTTTGCGATTAACGATTCTGTCGCAAATGTCGAATACTCGAATTGCAGAGATCACATACGTTCGTTTAACATTGCATTTCCGATAGGTGCCTAAAAGTCTAACGAGGACACCCAGAGTTGGTCAAAAGTATTTTTAGTTTCTAAGCTAATATTTGTTGTATATAAAAACTCGACGAAGTCACGTATTAATTTCATTTGAATTGAGCATCGTCCATTCTTCTCGGATGGCAACATTTCGTTGTATTGTATAACTTCATCGTTCTCAGGATATTTTTACCTATCGAGATAGTTACGTACGGAGATCATCCGATTTTATTGTGGGTATAGATCGGTGAATTTACATTCCGATGATTCCGCGACTTGTTTGAAAAGTCTTGTACAGCGCAAAGATTAACATTCGGGTACATCCTCGTCGTTTACTCAAGTGTAATGCTTTTTATTTAACGGCTGGCTTGTACAGAATGCGAAGATGATGTTTGTACAAAGCAAAAGAAAACAGACACGTTAAAACGTACGTATACTATTGTTAGATTTAATATTAGAACAGGTGAACGATGATATTACGGAAACGAATACTCCATTAAACTAATCCCACGAAATATCTGTATAAATAGCTATAAATACAACAAATGTAAGTTAAATGTAATTAATTATAATAGATTTATTATTAACTATACACTTTAATCGAATGAATGTGTCTGTTACAAGGATTTGATTCTTTTCTCTATGAACGACTGTATACATATATACACACACACGCGCGCGCGTTCAGCGCTTATGCGTACTCTCCATTCTAGTCCGATTGATATTAAGGTAATTTGATATTCAGATTAAGTTTATTTGATGCGATGAGCTGTCGCTTGATTTATGTATAACAAGTACGTAATGTATATATACATATGTAGCATCTCTCATTTTTTAAGCGGACGAATAGAGAACGAAGAAAAGGAGCCTGTGGTTGAAGGACCGCGTTATCAACGAACAAAACTGTATTAAAAAAATGTATTAACAAACGAAACGGATAAAAGGAAACCATTCTGTACGTTAACATTTTTTAAATTCGTTTGCTTTGAAGAGGATATAAGGACAGTTGATAATAAATGAAACAGAGATTACGATTTGATAAAGAGAGTTGTTTGGAAGAGAGCATTCAAATGTTTAATCCTAGTTAAATAAAGAGAAAACCGTTTTTCGTGAGACTAAACATGAGAATTGTAAAATCTTTTTGCGACTTGTTGAAAAGAAAAATAAGAGTATGAAACTCCTCGCAAAAGTGTTTTGCATCCCGTAGTTCAATTTTACAAATAAACACTGTACCGAATCATATTAGGGTAATTGTGTTATTCTACTTCCTATTGAATTGATGTAAATACAGTCTTTTACTTCGAACGACATTTTGAGGAAAAATAAAGTTTACAAAGTCGGAATTATTGGGGATGTAACAGTTTTTCGTAACTAATCGCAAATTTCAATCAAAACTGCTATGTGTTAATGAGATAAATAAAGAGATCAAAATAATAAAAATAACTTTTATCATTTATCCCTCACTCATATTTGAATCAAATTTATATGTAGAACTTTCTCCAATTTATTTAGTTTCGGAATCGAAGGAATATTACAAACATATGAATGCGAATTGTTGTTGTTGCTGTCATTTGACAGTTTAATTTCGTTTTAGTTCGTGTTAATTCAATTTTAAGTTTCATTTTAGTTCTCGTTTGAAGAAATGCGTTTATCATGGTCTTCGGAGAGGACTGTTCTTGCACCGACACAACGGAAGCATCTAATATAACTTCCCTGCAGTCAGACTGTAGTTTCGCAAATGTCAATACTAAAGAACCTCTTTGCGATACTTTGAACAGACAGAATTGCACTTTCGAACCATTTAATTGTAGGTAAACCAGATATTTAATTATTTATTTTTAAACATTAGTATAACTAATCTAGATCGGTTTTAATTATCAAGTCCAATAAAATACTGTGCTTTAGAGTTAATCATGGTCCCTTTTATCAAATCCTTGAATACTTTAGTGGAGATTTTCTACAATGGTAAATGACAACGTTTTATTAACATATATTTGTACGGTGACCATTCTGCATCTTCCTTTCAATAAATAATTTACGAATTAATCCAACACAAGAATTTTGTTCTTTTTTGCTGTTTGTGTGTTATTATAATTCCCATCTTCTTTTTCGTTCCCGATTTCTTTCCCAAAAATATGGTCACCGTATGTATTTGTTGCCGTTCGAATTTATTTTAATTATTAATTCCTAAGACAGTTGTATGCTCTTTGGTCTGACATAAGCAGGATGATACAGGATAGAATTTTAAATCAAGGGCAATTAAAATATTGTGTTTATTAAGATAAGGATTGCAACTGTGTTGGCAACACACCTGGATGCTGCGCAACGGAACAATATGTCCAAGAAGGATCGCACAAGAAAAATCCATCGCAGGATCAAAACCCGAAGAAGTCTCCAACGCGATGTATTTGCCGTAGTCACAAGATGTAATGCAATCAGTTCCATTTTCCGTAACAGTTATTAACCGACTGTTCGTTTCCTGCAGGACTTACTCTGTGCCTCTAAAGTACACGACTGGTAATTAGTTGCTAAAGTTAGCGTCATTTAAGATGAGATTAATTAGTGATTTTTCTCATATGCTTTATCTATTTTACCTCTGCCCTCCAGATAAATCGTATTCGAAACCGTTTTGGTGCCCTTTTAAGTGGAGATGGCCAAAGAATGTCAGAAAAGATAAACCGTACGAAGTGAAATTGAAATCGCAGAAATGTCCTCATTACCCGGAGGTAAATTACTATTAATAAAATTATTATTTACAATCTATCACAAAAGCTTCCAGCTTTTTACGACGAATTTTCTCCGAACGGATTCTTTTGTGATTTTATTGGGAATCCGTTGGAAATAAATTACGCTTCGTTTAGCCATTCATGTGCTGCGAAATATCGGAAGGTATACCGGATAAAAAAAAACGCGAAGCACCAAAACCCGCGGCAGCGAAAGTGACGAAACCCGTAGAGGATAAAGTGGAAGTGACAGAGAAAATCGACATCTACTACTTCGACCATGGGAACTCTGCGTAGGTACAACCACATCAATTGAATTGTTCGCTTGATCGTTCATCAGTTTCTTTTATTATGCAGGCGTCCTCAGCTCGTACATAATCGTTCAACAACTTTTTATTTTGTATATATGTATATAACAACAAAAAAGAAAAATCACAAGCTCTTAACACTTGAAACGACCGTGATTAAACTTAAACATTTAAAACACGTTCGAATCTCCTTATATCCTACAGTCAAACTTAGTTGTATTATCAAAAATACATAAAAAAAAACAATCACAAAAAACAAAGCTAATCTGTTCTCTACGTAGTATACTAAGAAATTTCAAAGCGACAAATCCCTTTTTCTCCTAAATCGCGTTAAGTATTTTACAATCGTGTAACAGAGGTCACGTGTGCTTCTTATAGATACACGTTTAAGACCTCTAATCTTGAAATGTGTTTCGTCACAGATACTATCGAACGACGGACTCACCGCCGATGTTGGTGACCGAGAAATGCGCCGAGAAAACGGACCAAGCGGCGACGCGCTTTTGGGCCGAGATATTCGGGACGATACACATCGGCACCGCGTTCGTTACCGCGTTCATACTACAGCTACTTCGCTTCATACTTTACAGCATAATCCGACCGCTGACAGTCGGAATCCTGCAGCTGCTAGCCGACTACTTTATAAAACCCCTATTGTCGATCTTGTTCAATGCTCTGATACAGCCTGTGCTGATATTGTTGTACAACATCGCGACATCGTTCAAAGACCTCTGCGAGCCGATCGCCGAGGCGATCGGGCTGTTCCTCAGGGAGATCGCTCATTTGTGCGCGGCGATTCGTATCGTCGAGGTGAAACAGGGCGCTGCCGCTCCCTCGGTTGCCTGCACTTGATTGATCGAAGCGGATGCTTCTCGAAAACCGATCGACACTCCGAGTACACCGGAACAAACAATGGGACAATAGGTACAAAACTCGTACTAGTTCTTTCCTTCTCTTTCTTTTTTTTTTACTTGTTTCCTCTCCCGTGATTCGTAAAAAAATAGCACCATGTATAATAGATTCGAGTCGACTTAAGTTACTTCGAAACTAGCTTTCTTTTTTAACTTTACGCCTCTCTACGTTGTACTATACTTGTTATCTTTTACGTTGGTTTAAGGTTCGGAGATATGAAAGAAGGGACGATCTACTACGTCTATATGTATGTGGATGATTGACTTCTTATCGACTTCTGAGGTATAAATCAACTCAAACTGAACTAAGTTTTCTTAACCCTTTGAGTACCTTCTATGCGAGCGTTAAGTACTGTTCAGTTAAGCGTTTCGCGCACTGTTTCTACGAGGCCATTTTTAAAACGGTTTTATTTATGTATATTGCATGGAGCAGGATCTCAAAGGGTTACGAACGTGATCGAACTCTCTTCTGGGGTACTTAATGACAGAACTTAAGGTAACGTAAAGCGTACTGCGAAAAAAGGATAGTTTTTCTATTGCCAAACGAACTGGCAACATTTATCCCTTGTCCTTCCGGTATGGACGATGATAAGATGATCTCGGATCGTCAGTTATTAAAAGAAAAAGGCAAAACGTTCCAGGACACGAGCAAACTGAAAATGATTCACGGGAACAGCTCAGACCTAGCGGCCGTTCAAGATTTTTCCATTTTTTTTTTGTTTTTTGTTTTTGTCAACGAACATAACACATGCCTTAACACCAGGTATATATTTGGTATTTACTTTTAACTTTACAATATTATTATCAGTTTCATTTCATTTCTGTGATTTTTTTACTTCTTCATTTTTTGTGTCTCTTTTCGTTTTTACAGAACAAATTATTTCCCTCTTACAGCGACTAACTTCGTCGACAATAATAGATAATCCATCCTTCGTCCTTTTCGTATTTTATCTTACTGCTTTTTCTTTTTGTTTTTTTTTTTTAATAAATTATGTACAATCTCACAAACAACAAACGGAGGAACCTAATTACATCATTGTAGTTGTTTCACACTTTGCTATATACAGGTACTACTGGTTTTTTACAGAATTGCGCTCTCGCTCCACCTGCGTGTATAATCGTTTCTCGTAACTCTTAAACTCTGCCGTTCGTTTATATTAATCTATTTAGAAAAACGAAACAAAAAAGAGAGAAATAGATAAGGAAAGAGAAAGAGAGAGAGAAAAAGAGAGAGTGCAAGGGTGGAAATAATAAAGACAGGTAAAAAATGACAGAGAGAAAAACAGAGAGGGAAAAAGGCAAAGAAAAAGGAGAAAAACGAACGCCTATCGTCACCTAGTCTCAGGAACTGCAACCTCTTGTTTGCTGTGTATCGCTATCTAGGTGGCTGTGGTCGGAGTCTCCTGGATGGCTAAGGTTTGCGATGAAGGCGCTGACGATGATGTCGAGTCACCTGCAGTCACACAGTCATCAATGAAAACAGTAATCAATTATTGTCAGTAACATGATCATTAACTTCGTGCAGATGAATCGCCGTTTCATTCTTCGAAATTTGAACTCTTTGATAAAAAATCATCGATTTCGCCTTATCATCCGCGTAGATCAAATTAAATATGAAATAATTTTCGTGTAATTAATTACGTTTATATAAATAACTGAAAGACTAACTGATTTTTTACCATCTAAATCGATTAAATCTGAGATAGTAAAATTTAGGAATGTGTAAAACTGATAAAAAAAATGTAAGTCTATGGGAAGAAAAAGACGACATTTCATATGCACCAATCTAATAGTATTTCCTAATTGTTGATTCGCGCGCATCACGCAACATTACACTATTTTAGAATTACATCTTCCAGTGGAAAACAGTGTTATCGGACCGTGATAGTCATAAAAGCGTTAAAAGGTTCCAGCAATCGCACCGAGCACACTTTTTTTTACCGAAACAAAGGAGTGTCCTCGGGCAGTTAAACAACGTTATCAACGTATCGACCCGTGCGTTTATCCCTTATCAACGGCAACCCGTTTTACGTAATATCGCGCTATTTTATTAGGTCGTACTCGGCGGTGTTTTCCACACTGGCCTACGTGGTGGCCACAAAACGTATCGGTCCACGCTTCCCGATGAAGTGCTTTTACCTATCGATTAATACTTGAATTCTAAAAAAGACACGGTGCGCTGATAAATCTTTGTGGTCAGCTGTACACAGTAATCCTATTACGGTAATATTCCCGAGGCGTTATGTAATGTAATATCGATTTCGAAGAGTAGAGTAAAGCTTACCCAAGAGGGCAGCCTCTAAGTCTCCTAAGATCTCCGTTTCCTTGGGATCAATAAGGTTGAAGCGTTGATTAAGGAGCGTGAGGTGGGCAAACACACAATTGAGGTGAGCGTGCAACCCCAATAGTGCTACCTCTCTGAAGTGGCAGTGGTAAATGTGTGCCACCACATGGTACAGTAGCCGCAGGATCTTACGCACTATAGATTCGAACGAGCTAGGAAATTCATTTGCTGAAACATCACGGAAATATCGATCAATTAATACGATTATGGCCCTTCCTGCTACCACCCGTGATAAACAGTGAACACGATTCAATTGTAAACATAGCATTATCTGTAGCAATTAATTAAAGCGATTCATTCAAAGAAATGATCTCGAATACTTTTCTCAAAATAATTATGCATAAAACAATTTGACGGTTTGATCGAAGTAACGTAATACGTAAAAAACAACGTATTTGAATAAAAATTCTTATGAAAATGTGTAACAAGTATTGGAACGTGAATTCGTTTAGAATGTTAATCATAAATACATAATTATCGAACGTCGATAATCGTTATCGTGCTGCGAGCAAGGTGAAATGGAATTACCATATTTTGTAGGAAATATAGTTTCGTCACTAACGGTGCGTTGTGTAAAAGTCATAACATAATCTATATATTGTGGCGCTGCCACTCTTGTTTTCTTCCCCTTCTCATCGAACCACAGATAAGTTCTGTAACAAATAAACAATTATATTATAAAATTGATACGTAGGCAATTAATTACGTAAATAATTTTCTGCGCTACACGATTACACTGTATAATAATAATACTATATTCAAACATATACTATTACTCCTATTTGAAGCTAAAATGAGAATTAATAAAAAATTCGAAGATAGCAAATTTTCATAAACTGAAGGAAGCAACTTCTTTTTTATGAGAAAGGATATTTAATGGAAGGACAAACCTTAAGCCTGGACCGGTCATGTCCGGACAGCCCGTCATCGTGCAGAACTCGGATATAGTACCGTAAACAAGGTTGATGTGATCAAATAGTGCGAGGGTGTGGGAGGCCAGCCACTCGTTGTAGTCCAGGCCGGGTGGTAGATCGACCAACATTCTTAGGTCCACCTCTGGCAGCTGCCTTTCAAGGGCCGCCTCCTCGAGGTACAATTTCGGATCCTCTGTGGTTCCCGCATCCTTCTCCTTTCGTCGGGCTTTTCTACAGGACAGCGGAAAATCGCTCGTTTTAGTCTCTCCAGCCTCTCTTAGCGGAACTAGAATTTGCTACCACTTGCTCAAGCAATAAAGCAAATTGTTATTGCTCAGCGTGGGACGTTCGTGTGTCGTGATCGATAACAATTCATTCTTTACAATTTCGAGTTCAAGTTTAGATGATTTGATTTTTGCTAGTTTATATTTTATTCATATTGGAATTTTATACATGCCTTATTATACATATACGTACAGACAGGATGTTTTGCTTTATTTACACTTTTGTTCATCTTATTTATTTACTATTTTTTCAAGGGATGTTACAATAATTCTTTACTATTTTTTCTATGTACAAAAACATAAATTATTTTTATTTGAGCAAAATCTTTTTGTTTAAAGTTCAACAAGTTATTTATATCATTTAAACCTGAGTAAACATATATGATTATTTTTCTCTTACTGGGTATTACGAATCTCTAAATTCTAATACTGTTTGCGTATTTTTGAATGTGTCTAGCTCAAAACGAGAAGAATTAACAAAAATATGCGTGAACTCTCTTATTCTATTAAATATAATCAGTGCACTGCGAGCAAGCGTTAATACAGAAATATTTTGGGCAACGTTAATCTTGGCTCAGGGGTAGCCCGACCTGCCGCAATAACGAATGATCGCTGAGATTCCTCATTGTCGCAAAGCTCACGTTCCGTTTGTATTTGTCGAGCGCCGCATGAAACTTCCCGGCTGGTCACGTATTCCTCTAATTATCACCTCACGAAGATAAAACGGTGGAAATGGAATGAAAAATCGGAAGTGTTTTTATCACGGATGAGCTAAATGGGAAAATATCGTTAATTACGCGCGGATTTTTCATAGCTGCATATAAAAAGTTTTGATTTCCAAGTTTATGTTTTTTATTCGAAAGTATCAAGTTTTATTACATGAATCACGTTCAACGAAAATGAAATAATTTCACGTGTCTGAATTTAAAAGAATTTCACACTTCAAATAAAATTCATACATCTGTTATCTCAAGATATGACAGGATACAAATAAATCAAACAAATTAAGGAAGAATATATTCGTGAGTTTACTTTTTATGATTCTTTTTAAACAAATTTTCAGAGAAAATGATGAAACTTGATGGATTATCTTTATTAATGAACGGAGCAATTATTTTATTTCACTTCTTGATACAATAGGATGAAGCATTTTTTTATCAATAAAAAAAGTAGCCGACACGTGAATTGCGAGTCGCATTTACGCAACGTTACTTCATGCGGCACATCTCTGATTATGGAGTGAGTGCGTGACAGAAGACTTGATTAAAATCACATTTCATTGGCACTGGTGTAAATGACGACTGATTATCGTGATTCCGCGCGCCGTTATTCACCGTTCGCCTTCTCAAATGATCTATTGATTCGTTATCAACCGACCGATTTATGCCAGCAGCGGGACAGCTCACGTTAACGAATCTGTTTCTATATTACGAGAGGTATTATTACTGATCGTTAGACTGTGGATTTTATACAATTATAAGAGATTTGGGAACGTAAAAAATATAAATGATGCATGCAGTTTATATAAACATGTTAATAACAAAGTACAGTGACTCCCAAAACAGTTGCAATGATTAGAAATATGAATAAAAAATTCAATAAAGTGAGCTTGAAATTAATTTTATTTACTTTTTATATGATGTAGCTCGAAACATGGTGTTACGTATAAAGCAACATTGCAAGTGCGGTTCTAGGTGGCGAGATATTTCGCTCAGGATAACGAAAGGGTTGAGAATCAGCATAAATTTTTATCTTATGTATTTTTCAAAGCTTAACATTATTCATTTAATTTACAATAAAATTCTTTCAGTATTTTCAGAAGTTTTAAAGTGATATTTCTTTTATTTTTAATGAATAATTCTGATCATTGCACCAGTTTTGAGAGTCACTGTATATCATGATGTTTAAATGATAAAACTTAGATTTATATATTTCGAACAGACCTACGTGTATTTCACTATCTAATCATTTGCTTTCGTATTTGCATAATCTGATTGTAAATGATACTGATATCGAATTAAATAAGTTAAAGCAAGACAGGATAATCAACGTACTTTTCCGTTGGCTATTCCCAGAAGAATGTTAAGAACCCACGGAGAAGTACGTCCACGGTCTGAGAGAAGTAACGAGGTTCATTAACGCGCTTTTCGAACCTGTAATTACTTTTCGAGCGTTTATTGTACGCCGAGGGGCCGCAACAAGGCGAAACGGAAATCCGTCGCGAAATATTCTGCGGACGATTTTCCTTCCAATTCTATAACCACCATCGTGAATGAAAATTATTACGGCCAGCTGTTTGAGAATCTACTTAATACGCTCTATGGTTTCATCGCATTGATTTATTAATACCACTCTTTCTCAAACAAATACTTAGTTTTTCAGATTTCTCCTTCTTTTTATTCGAAAGCTTGAAAGTATCATAATAATGAATTTATACATGAAATTTAACCGACTCGATTCTATAGGTATCAGTTCTTACGTAAAGCAACCAGTTAAGCAAAATGAGACTTAAAAGACATTACTGTAAATTATATTTATGTCACTTGAATGTTTAGAGCTTTTCGAATAACGTATCAGATAAAAGATTAAAGCATTTCATATTAACAGTATTCTTTATAAGTGGATACTAAAAAAGTTAGCTTTATCCAAGGGTTGTATCATAAGTGGATAAGTGGTGAACTTGTTCAATGTGCGCGTACAAAAAGTAATCAACATAAATCGGATAAAAAAAAAAGCGAACGCGAGACACGACGTAGCAATCGATATTGCGGTGCATCGATTGAAAACAAATTACAGCCTATGCTGGGATGAAATGCGAAAAAGCAATTTCATTCCTGGATGAAGAACAATATTACGTTGCCCTAAATGCACTTCGCTCCACAGGAGGCTGTGCACCGATTTTACTCCAGTAACGTTACCGTACGCTCGGCCCCTCTTCCTCCTCCTCTTCCTACTGTCGAATTTTGGAACACATTCAAGCTCATTAGCCCGGTATCGTTAATACTACCAACAATATGTTTCTACGAAACTACCGCATACGCGTCGATTCTCTCCTTTACTAATTACACGCGTATAATAACTGCGGTAAAGTTCTGCGAACGTAAAAAGCAGCAGAATTGAAAGAATAAAGAACAATAAATTATTTAAGAAAGAAGAAACTACAATCGTTGGAGTTTAAGTATAAAGATTAATAAAAAGGGATGAAGATTGTATGAGCCATAAGATCTTTGCCGAAAGTTTAAGACATGTAATAACAAGCTGTATCCAATATTTAAGGCAATGAACTTTTAGAAAAAAGTATAATTATAGAGTAAGGTTTATAAAATTGTTCGACCTGTTTTTCTCGGTCATAAGAAATTTTTAATGCATAATTTCAAATATTCTAATACATAGTTTTGGCATACTTTTTATTGTACTTTCAACTTTAGAATATTGTTAAATTATGTATTAAGAATGATACAAAATTACAAAATTCTGTCATTGTTGCATATGTATTTTTTTTATAAATGAAATCAAAATTCTGTCCTTCGACATAAAAATTCAAGATGTAATAACT